TTAATTTTTAACTATTTGTATTTAAGATATTATTATGATGTTTATTTATTTATTTCCCAATTTCATTACTTATTATAATTGATGCTTTGTTATTTTCATTTATTAAATTATTTTTAGTATCAGTATTATCTATTTTTCTGCTTTTTTAATAGTATCAAGTTTTGCTTCTTGTTGTTTTATTCTTATATTTAAATCAATAGCATCTTTATTTGAAATATTATCGTTTAATTTATTTGTTTTAAATATTCTTTCTTTAATAAACAATTACTATTGCTTTTTTAGCTCTTGTTTTAGCTCCGTTAGTAAGAGCATATCAAATTTCTAGCATTGTGATTACCACTTTGCAATCTGTTTCAAAATTTTACTAATGTTAATACTAGTAGAAACTTAAACGACACTGATCTAACTGGTCCACCTATTAATCATAATAAAGGCAATGTTCAATAAATAAAACAAATTTTTCAGGAACAAAACAAGAAAATTATGAAGATAATAATATAATAGGTATTTCATTAACTAAAAGTAATTTAAAAATAAATGATTTTAAATCTGTTACACATTTAAATATCAATAGAAGTTCTCTTAATACAAATTATGTAGGTAGTATAAATAAAGAATCTACATATTATATTGATTATAAAAATATTCAACAAAAAACACAGAAATAAATAACACTACTTTCTAATGAACCACCTGGTATAATAAATTCTGAAAATAATAATAAACATATTATGTCAAAAGATTTTAGTATAGATACAAATCAAAGAAATATAAATAATACTTTTGATATAACAAATCAACAATCACAATATAAGAGTAGTTTTATACATAACAATAATGATTCAAATAATACTAATAGAGAATTATTAAATTATGGCGATGTCATGAATCAAAAAAGCGAAATAGCATCTGTTCCTATATCAGATAATAATAAATTAAATGAAACAAATAGAGAAACAACATCGCATGATTTAGCTATTAATAGCAAAGCTCCTATGAATAGTAATATTTCCCCTACTAAGACAGACTACAGAAAAAAGTTGGTACCCTTATTCTAACCTCTCTGCTGAAGGACCTCCTCTAGGTCCCCCAGCTAGGTGCCCCTTCTCACCCCTTGTTTGGTTGGGAGGGTTCCCCTACTAAGACAGACTACAGAAAAAAAGTTGGTACCCTTATTCTAACTTCTCTGCTGAAGGACCTAGTCTCGAATTTTGAGCTTCACACCCACAGAAGCGGTGGCCATTTCCAACACTCCTTGAGAACTCGATATGAACCCCCGAACATGAAGAATTGGTTTCATGTTGCTTCCGGGCCGAGAACAGCAACCTGCCTGCAAATTCACATGGAACCCCAAAAATTCGACGGGCCCAAAAGGAGATTCCTCTGAAGACTTTGAGTTCCTTAAGCAAAGGTTTTGTTTTTCTCCGTGGGTGGTTTTTCAACAGAATCAATGTATCCCTGCTGGACATAAATTTGCTCATGTTGTCCAGGGGGCGAAAAACAGCAAATGGAAGGAGATTACCCGTGTTTTTGGGGGAAAGGTGGTCGTTTTTGAACGCGGTTTTGCTCAAGTGTATGTGATTTACAGCAGCACGGCCATTTTTCCAAGTGTCCATGCACACCACGATGAGGCGCACGAACACGCACCACGATGCACGTGTAGCACATGGATGGCGCCGTGCTTTTGGGAGACGATCGTCAACTGTAGACCCGGAAACACAAAGCACAAGCAACGCAAAGCGACATCATCATCATCATCATCATCATCATCATCAACACCACCATCATCATCATCATCATCATTACCATCATCATCAACATCGTCATCATCACTACCAACAACATCACCATCATCAACATCAACACCAACATCATCATGACCATCATCACCATCATCAACATCATCAACATCATCAACATCACCACCAACATCTATATCATCATCAACAACACCGTCAACATCACCATCATCACCATCATCACCATCATCATCACCATCATCATCACCATCATTACCATCATCATCAACATCGTCATCATCACTACCAACAACATCACCATCATCAACATCAACACCAACATCATCATCACCATCATCAAAATCATCAGCATCACCACCAACATATATATCATCATCAACAACACCGTCAACATCACCATCATCATCATCACCATCATCATCACCATTATCATCATCACCATCATCATCATCAACATCATCATCGCCAACATCATCATCAACATCGTCAACATCAACATCATCGCCATCATCATCATTAACAATATCAACACCATTATCAACACCAACGTCGACATCACCATCACCATCGACATCATCAAAGTCATCGCCATCGACATCCTCATCGCCAACATCAATATCATCATCACCGTGTCATCATCATCATCATCATCAACATCATCATCATCATAATCATCATCAACATCATCATCATCATAATCACCATCATCATCATCATGACCATCATCATCAACATCGTCATCATCACTACCAACAACACCACCATCACCACCAGCGCGCAGTCGCACGGTCACGCAGTAAGAGGCGAACGTAACTGCCCCACCCCGCCCCGTCCCCCCCCCAGCCCCAGGACGCAGTCGCACGGTCTTGCAGCAAGAAGCGAACGTAACTGTCCCACCCCACCCCCCCCCCTAGCCCCAATACGCAGTTCCACCGTCACGCAGTCAATTACCCCCTTCCCCAGCCCAGGATGCAGTCGCATGGTCACGCAGTCAGAGGCAAACGTAACTGCCCCACCCCGCCCCGACCCCCACCCCCAGCACGCAGTGGCACGGTCACGCAGTAAGTTGCGTTCGCCTCTTGCTGCGTGACCATGCGACTGCATCCTGGGGCTGGGGAAGGGGGTAATTGACTGCGTGACGGTGGAACTGCGTATTGGGGGGGGGGTCCTGGGGGGGGGATGGGGTGGGGCAGTTACGTTCGCCTCTTACTGCGTGACCGTGCCACTGCGCCCTGGGGGTGGAGTGGGGCAGTTACGTTCGCCTCTGCCCCACCCCACCCCCACCCCCACCCCCAGGACGCAGTGACACGGTCACGCAGTAAGAGGCGAACGTAACTGCCCCACCCCACCCCCACCCCCAGGACGCAGTGGCACGGTCACGCAGTAAGAGGCGAACGTAACTGCCCCACCCCACCCCAGCCCCCCCCCCCCCCAACCCAACAGGTGCTGTAGGATAGCCCCCCCATGTGTTCGAAAATGACCCGCTCTGTGTTCGAAAATGATCCAGGACATTTGTGTTCGAAAATGATCCAAAATCGGTGTTCGAAAATGATCCCCCTCCCGGGGGGATTCCCCGGGGGCCAAATGCGAGCGGGATCTCGTCTCAGGAATTTCTACACCCTAGACCAGGCGCATCCGCATCCGGGGATCCAAGAGGGTTCAGCACCTCCAAAGTGGTTGGACATGAATGCCCCAGCATGTCCAAGGGTTTTGAATATCAAAATGCGACCACCCACGTGGGTGTGAAGCTCAAAATTCGAGAGTCAGGGTAAACTGCAGCTTTGGTCGTTGTTTCCATTTACCAAGGGCCCATTTTGGGTATTCCACTTTTTTGAGCCGCCAGATGTGTTTGTGGTTGTCTCAATCTAAGCCACTCAAAACATGCTTGGTGGTATTTTTGGTTTCCCTTTAAGCCAAGCCCAAGAAGGGTACCTCCAAAAAAGACACGCCCGCATGGGGTTGTCTTTTTTGAGGCTCGGTACCTGAAAACCAAAGGAATGCCACTCGTTTCGGGGGGGGGGGGGTGTGGGGGTCCCCTAGTTCGAGACAAACCCACATTCCTGCTAGCCCAAGAAGGTTCTAGATTCAGCGAGACATCCAGGTCTGAGGTTTCTTGCGAACCAAAGGCTTAGCTTACAAGCGGTGAAGCTAATTTGAGTTCGTTTGGGGCCTGACACGTTTTTATATGGGGGATGTACCGGTCCACAAATTGACTGGGTGTTCCCTACCAGATGCCACGAGATAACTTGTTTTCGATTCTGTTCTTCAGGAGGGTGTGTTTTTGTTGTTTGGAGCATTTTTGTTCTGGAAACAAAAAAGGAACAAGGTCCCCGGCCCTATTTTAAGCCACATTCCGGAAGTCTCCAGAGACTGGCAACGCGGCCAATCGGTGAGTTTGGGCATGTCTCGCATCTGGATGCTTTGCTTTTGAAAGAAAACCGGCGCAAGTTGCAAGCCCCAAGGATGTGGAGACACGACGAATGCTCTCGGGGTTCAAAGTCGGGACTTTGTTGCATTTTGCTTGGATGTTAGGACTTTAACTTTTTGCCAACTAATGGGTTTTCATTAAACCACTGAAGGTTAAAAAGCTTTTAGCAGGGGAGCAGAAAGCAACCGAGGCCAGCCAGTACCACTTTCACTTGGCGGGTCTATCCAAATGAAAGGGTCGCGAAAGGTTTCTGAGAAGCGTGCCCCCAAGGGTGACTGGTGGCGACGTCCTGTTCACCCCAGTTAGTTCGAGGAGCTGCCATATTCCGGCGCGACAGGGTCTTTTGGCATGGCCCTGTACATGTCTTCGTGTATGCTCGGCATGCGGTTCCCGTGGAAACACTTTAGCGTCACCTGGACCCTCAAATTAACTCAACCCAGACGGACCGAAAATTGTTTGGGCCTTCAAACGGCCAGGTTTTGAGACCCCACAACCCGTCTGGGGTGTCTGATGGAGTGTCTGGGCTTCCATTGGAAGCCCCAGGATTTTGTGGGTGACTGCACCCCTTCAATTTCAGGGTGTCTTGAAGGGAAGCCGGCAAGACACCCCGCCTCTCCCTGCATGAATTGCTTTCCAGCAAAGACGGTACTCTCCCAGTTTCCCAGTTGCCCAGCGGTGCCCTTGTTTCTTTTTTTTTGGGGAAGGGTTCCCCTTTAAAGTCAACCAGCCACAAAAGGATGCCGAGTCTTTTTTCACAGAAACCCACTGGGCATCTGAGACTTGGATCTGCACATGATGCGCGCCGTGGCTTCAGCCTAGCAAACACCATCCGCCCACAAGTTCGACACCAGGCAGGGAGTGCCCGAAAAAAAATCTGCATGGGCAGACACTTCCTTGCAAATGTCTGCCTTTTCTTTTCTCCCTTGTTTTTTTTAAGGGGGGGGGAGGCAATTACTACACCCTCTTTGGTGGTTTTGAACGGAAAAACATCATTTCTTTTGCGAGAGGGGGATCCCCCTGACTTAGCTTGACTTTTTTCCGAATCCACAGGGGAAGTGCCTGCCCGCCTGTCTACTTACCCCTGTTAACTGAACTGCATCCTACTGTGGGTGCGTTTTGAGCCTTTTTTTGTGGTTGTTGTCCAGGGCACGAACATGTTTGTTTCGGGGGGCTTCGCTATTTTGGCCCCTGTGCGGGATGATGTTGTGCTGGATCATAGGCGACATTTCTCGGGGTTGGGCAAGGATGATTTTGGTGGCATTCGCGCTCTGCTTTTTGAGAGGCTTATGACTGAAATAGTTCATAAGAAGCTTGAACTTGCCTTGGGCAATTCGCTTAGGAGGTCAGGCAGTGTCATTCCAAGCTGAGCTTCGTATTTGTTTTTGGTGCCACCATTTGCGTAAGGCAGGTCGTTTGCGCAAGCTCAAGCTAAGTGGGTCGCGCCAACTTGCTGGGGTTCAACATCCGGGGCTTGCCAGTGTTTGTAATGGGAACCCTGGATTATTAATTAAACCCCTGATGAATAGGGGGGGGTGTCTCCTTGTAGTGCGGATTCGTCACTTTTGCGGGTGACACCCACCCCCTTAATAGGGATTTGTAAATCGGGGGCGAACATTGACCCGTATTACGAGCCTATGACGTTCCATTGGAGAGCATGAGGCGGGCCAATGTGTGAGCGCACATAAGCTCAGTTGCCCAGCGTCACTTCTGTTGGGGGGAGCATGGCCCTCCAAATCTAATCAACCAACAAGAAGATATGTTTCCCATGCCTGAGACTGATTAACCTTCGAGATGTAGAGCTCTAAGATCGAAGGTAGCTCAACTGTCATTTTGGGGAGAGAGGATCATGCTATTAATTCAATGTGTGTTGCGTTGCCAGCGTTTGTGAGTTGTGTTGGAACTGCAACACCGCAGTGGCTGGTTTCTGCTTTTTGAGCCATGTCCGCGAGCTGCGGAGTCAACCAAAGCACACTTATGTAGGTCTCATAGATATTTTTTTGAGGCCATTTGTCTCACTTCAGATACATGGACCGCCAGGGGTGGCTATTGCGGGGGGGGCCTCCCTGCAAAAGCCCAGGATAAGTTAAGGATAAGCCCTTAAGGCCTTAAGGAGTGATTGAGGGATAGCCCCCCTCAGCTCGCGTCCGCAGATTGCACATGGCGATGGTGCTGCGGGCGCTTCTGGCAATGCTGCCCCTGGTCCAGGGCGGGGGCCCCGTTTTGGCGTCGAACTGGCAACCCGGAGATTGGGCAGAACCTTGGGATTCTGTCCGAGGAAAATGGGTGTGCTGCTCTCCCTTCCTGAGTTTCTGCAATTCATAGATGTTGGGGTTGGACCATTTTAGTGGCAAATAAGCAGTTTGGACTCTTTTGGGCCATCCACGCGGGAAGTTAGATGTTTCCCTTGGTTTGTGGCTGGACAAAATGGAGGCTTATCACCCTTACTGGTCCTCAGCCACGGATTCATGGGAGCCAATCCAAGCGACGTGGTCCACTTTCACCCTGGGGGGTTTGTTGTCAAAGAGATTTCGGGTCTTTTTAAACCATGGTGCCGCCTGCACCTCGAGGTGGGGTACCAAAAAGGTACCAAAAAGGGCCCAGCAATTTGCCTGGTGAGACAGTGGGGCATGCCAGATGTAGAGGCGTGACGGGCTCGAAGAAGTTCACAGGTGTCTTTCTGGAGGATACCCATTGTGGGGTTGGTTTTAAAAGGACACCAAAAGGAAAGCCCAGCATGGGGGTCCAACCTTACAAAAGGCGAGCTATCCATATGACACTCGCTGTGATGGATGGAGACTGGGTGGCTCCCGAAGGCCATCCGGTTCCTTAGCTTTTTAGAGTTTTGGTGTTTAGTGGTTGGGTGTCCATTTGACCCACTAAAAAGTGAAACTTTTAGTAGGGGATCTGAGAAAAGCCCAGGAGAGATACACGATTTCATGTGCCGGGGCATTTTGTTGACGCCTTGCCGATTCTGTTCCTGCGGCCCCCGGTGGTGCCCTTTTAGCTCCCTTTTTTGGTTGGGAGGGTTCCCCTGCTAAAATAGACGTCAGAAAAAAGTTGGTACCCTTATTCTAACCCTCATTCTATTCTGGAGGACCTAGATTCTATTCTGAGTGTCCTCTTGGGGTGATGTTCGCAAGACATCTCCTTCCCAGAGCGAAGTGAAGCATGCACTTGAACAGCGATGCGTTTCTTTTGCTTGTTTATTATTACTTACAATTATTACCATGAAATGAAAAACATGTACAGAAAGAGAACTGCATGTGCTTTGCGGAGGCAATCCTGGTTGGGGCTGTAGGCTCAGGCTGTTGT